CCAGAGGAGGCCACCAAGGTGATCAGAGGGATGGAGCAGCTCTGCTGTGAGAAAAGGCTGGGAGAATTGGGATTGTTCAGCCCGGAGAAGAGAAGCTTTGGGGAGAACCCATAGCAGCCTTCCAGTATCTGAAGGGAGCCTGCAAGAAAGATGAAGAGAGACTATTTATAAGGGCCTGGAGTGACAGGACAAGGGGGAATGGCTGCCCGCTGACAGAGGGCAGGGTTAGATTGGGTATTCGGAAGAAATTCTTCCCTGTGAGGATGGTGAGGTCCTGGCACAGGTTGCCCAGAGAAGCTGTGGCTGCCCCTTCCCTGAAAGCATCCAAGGCCAGGTTGGACAGGACTTGAAGCAGCCTGGTCTAGTGGAAAGTGTTCCTGTCCATGGCAGGGGGTGGAACGAGATGGTCTTCAAGATCCCTCCCAGCCCAAACCAGCCTGTGATTCTCTGTGTTATGGTGGTGAGTGGGGATCTGAGGGAGAGCTGCCAAACCCCACCTGGCAGGTGCACATCACAGCCACGTGCCAAGGATTCAGCTGCTGGGGGTTCTGCAGCCTGCTGGCCTGGAAGTGGTATTTTACAGGGGCAATGAGAGAAGTTAGCTGAGTGGGAAGATAATGGTGTTTGTAGCTGAGGGGTTCCTTGGGGGTCCAGAGTTTGAGACCTGTTTTGTGAGACAGTTCAATGTGGCCTCTGGACACTTAACCAATCTCTTCACATGGGTTTTGGCCCCACTTAAACCACTGTAACATCACCTGCCTGTGGTCAGCTTGATGCCTGGATGGGTGCACCCAGGACCGTGGTACCTGCCCCAGAGTCTCTCTGCCACTGCGTTTTCTAGAACATGTCAGGAGTTACATTATTTAATCCAGCAGCTGCAGATAATCCTGCTCAGAGCTCAGCACAGGTTATGCTCCTGTGGTCTTTGTATGAGGCTGGGGCGTAGGAGTGTTGGTTCACACAGAAAGGGCTGTATTAGCAAATAATAACTCTTGAGAAAGCCCCTAAGATAACTGGAGACATGCCATAAACCCCAGACTTCTGGTGAGTGTCTGGGTTCTGGTGTCCAGTGGAGCCTGGGGGTGAAGGTGTACAGCTCATCTTTGAATATGTTTTGAATGTTCTTCAGGTCTTCCTTGTACCCTGCGAGATTCCTGACCCAGCCATGGATCCCTGAGTGCCTTACACAGCTCACTTGTACTGCATCCACCCACCATTTTTCACTGGTTTAGCTAAATGTGTCATTTAATGGATTTAACAGTGGGGGAGAAGTGCTGTCAGTGCACAGTAAGCAAACAAAAGTTAGTGACTGAGATGCATTAATGCATAAACTGGGGAAAAAGAGGAACACGGCCCCCAGGAGAACAGCAGAGGCAGGCACCAGGAGTGCCAGTAGGGCAGGAACTACAACATCATTTTGTCTTTTCATGATTTTCCACTATTATAGCAAAACTATGTTGTTAAGAAAGTAAGAAAGTGTATTCTCATCTCCCTGATTCCTTCCTGATGTCACATCAACCTGGCAGGTAGAAAGGTGTTCCTTCCTGGGATTATGGGAGTATTTAAAAGCAGGATGCCGAACCATCCCAGGTGCCCAAGTCCTCAGGCGTGTCTTGGGCAAGGAGGTTCCCACTAGTCATGGAAAGATACCGGGGGCTTTCCATGGGGTGGGAGGACACCCAGACACAGGGAGCTTGGGACAAACTCCACACTGAGAAAGCTGCGTGCAAATTATCAGCTTGTTCTCGTAGCGTTTGGGCCGTAATCCTTTCCTCTTCTCCCGTCCCAGGTGCACTGGACCAAAGAGGAGAATTACATGTTCAGGCTCTCGGCGTTCCGGGATCCCTTGCAGAACTGGCTCCGGGACAACCCACGCGCCGTTTCTCCCGACCCTTTCTACCAGCGCGTGCTCCGCTGGCTGGACGAGGATTTGCCGGACCTGTCGGTGTCCCGTGAGCGGAGCCGGCTGCAGTGGGGCATCCCCGTGCCCGGTGACCCCACACAGACCATCTACGTGTGGGTGGACGCCCTGGTGAACTACCTGAGCGTGGTGGGGTACCCCGAGAGCCACGGTGAGTGGTGGCCGGCCGCGCACCACGTCGTGGGCAAGGACATCCTCAAGTTCCACGCGCTGTACTGGCCGGCGCTGCTGCTGGCGGCAGGGCTGGCCCCCCCCCGAGCGCATCCTGGTGCACTCCCACTGGACCGTGCGTGGGCAGAAGATGTCCAAGAGCCTGGGCAACGTGGTGGACCCCGCCACGTGCGTGGGGCAGTACGGCGTGGACGGGTTCCGGTACTTCCTGCTGCGGCAGGGCGTCCCGGAGCGGGACTGCGACTATTACGACGAGAAGGTGGTGAAGTTGCTGAATTCGGAGCTGGCGGATGCACTCGGGGGGCTGCTGAATCGCTCAACGGCCCCCAGCATCAACCCCAGCAACACCTACCCACGCTTCTCAGAGCCCTGTTTTCCAAAGGTCCTGGATTCCAGGGAAGCAAAAGGCGCGGGCAGGGTGTCTGCTGAGGACTACGAACTCGTGGCAGCGGTGGCCTCGCTGCCTGCGCAGGTGGCTGGTTATTTCGAAGGCTTCCAGATTTACAAGGCTTTGGAATGCATTGCCCAGTGCGTGAGGCAGACCAACGGCTTCTTCCAGAGACACAGGCCTTGGAAGCTCGACCGAAGGGACCCTGCGGAGCGGCTCTGGCTGGACACCATCCTGCACGTCACGCTGGAGTGCCTGCGTGTCTACGGGATGCTCCTGCAGCCTGTGGTCCCACACATGGCAGACAAGCTGCTGTCCCGGCTGGCTGTTGAGCCAGGAGAGAGGGGTCTCTCTGATCTGACATTCTTGGCGCGCTATGATGGAAAGCCGTGTCCCTTTGAGGGGAGACAGCTCGGACCTGACACTGGCGTCTTGTTCCAGAGGCTGGAGAAGTTGGAAACTATGAAGAACACAAAGCAAGAAGCTCGAGTCTCTGACAAACAGCTTCTGTGAATAAAAACCTTCAGGAACTCCTGGGAAACGTCTTTTCACCTTCCTTCTATTGATGGTGGTGGTGTGGAGGGGTGGGAAGCTGGCCCGACAGCTGTCCCAGTGACAGGCCTGGGACTGACCAGACATGCCTTGGGGAGGAGATTGTGTGAGCAGGGCTGAGGGCTCAGGAAGCTCAGGCAGCACCCTCAGAATGCCTGAGTAGCCAAGTCGGTAACTGAACCAAAACACAGCCTCAGGTTTCAGCATTGCTGCTTTTTTTGCCCCGATGTATTTTATGGGATGTAAAAAGCAACTGAGGCAAATATTTATCCCCTTAAAATAGGGAGGTTTTTCTGCACGGTCCTGGGGCTCCACCAGAGCCCTCTTGCCTGTGTCTCTCACTAAAGCATAGAATCCTTGACTGGTTTGTGTTGGAAGGACCTTAAAGCCCATCTTGTTCCAATCCTCTGCCATGGACAGGGACACCTTCCACTAGATCAGGTTGCTCCAAGCCCTATCCGGTCTGGAACACTCCCTTCCTTTACCTTGTCTGAGGTGAGGAGGCATCAGGTGCTCTTCTGAAGACATTGTAACCATGGATATGGCAGCCAGTCTGCTCAGCCATCCCTTCCAGAGACAGCAGCTCCCACCTTACTCACTCCAGCAACCCCTTCTTGGGCTGATGTTCAGGACGAGTATCCAGGGGGATCAAGAAAGCCCTGAGGAGAGATGGGGTTGGTCCTGGTCCTCCTCAGTGTTGTCTCCTTGTGAAGGAAGAAGGATGAGCAGTTGCTCTACAATCAATGTCCTCATCTCACCTTTAATCCCCAGGTTTTTGGCCAGGCCAGAAGTAGCTGGGGGTGGTCAGATATGGTTCCATGGGGCTGTAGTGCCCATGGATCTGTTGGATCCTTCAGCTGAGCTTCCTCTGTGGGCCAAAACAAGTCTGAGTGAACCTTGATGGGGATGATCCTGTGTGACCACTCTTCCAGGGGCAGGACAGCACCGAGGTCGAACAGGAGGTCTCATTTAGCTGTGCAGACCTGCTGGCATCACCAGAATGGGAAAAGGGGCCTGTGTTTCAGGCCTAGCCTCACCTTCCTGAGGCTTGCCTCCTGCAAGGCTTAGTGCACCCTAGTTTCATGTCAGTGCTGCTGGAAGCAGCTGAGCATTGGCACCCTGGGGCAGTGGTGACCACTGGGGATCTTTGGTAAATCCTTCCCAGCTCCTCCAGGTCCCAGGAGTCTTCTTTCATGGGCCTGATTTGGGGGGCTGTGAGCTCTTTTAGGGTTGCCTGGGCTGTGTGAGCAGAAGCAGTGCAGCCCCCATAGTCTTTTCACCCCTGCCAGTCCCTACACCCTCACTGTACCAAAGCCTGATGCTGTCCCGGTTTCAGCTGACCCGGGTCCCCTCATCCCCTCCTGCTGTGGTTCCCTTCCCCTCCCGAGTGTCACCTGCTCCCCTGCTCCTGCCATCCCACTGAGCATCCTTCCTGCTGCAGCCCCTGTGCCCTGGCGCTGTGGGTGCTGGCATCCCGCTGCCCTGCTCCTTGGGGACAGGAGGGACATATCCCCTTCCCGGTCCCTCTGATGCTGGCACCTGGGGGCTGTGGCTGCCCGGCCGGACATGGAGAGGGTCAGTCTGGCACGGGTGGCAGTGACCCCGTGTTGGGGCGTGCGGGTGTTTGTGTGCGCTGGTGTCTGCTCCTGCCCCGCTATCCCTCGGTGTCCCTGGCTCTCTCCCGGGAGGGGCCAGTCCCGCTGCCTGCAGCCCCGCCGGTCCCTGCCTGTCCCTTGGGGATGCCCGGGCCGGCCCGGGCTGAAAGCACTCGGTCCCCGGTCTGGGGCTTGGCGTGGCGGGTGGCCCAGAGCCGGTACCGGTGCGTGGGATGGGACCGGCGCCGGTACCCGGGGATGTGCAGTGCCGGTGCCAGAGCGAGGTGCCGGTGCCGCTACGCTGAGCGGGGACGTGCCGTGCCGGTGCCGGTACCCGGGGATGTGCAGTGCCGGTGCGCGGGGTGGAGCCCTGTTGTATTGGTGCCCGTACGCGGTGCCGGTGCCGGTGCGTGGGGCTGCGCCGGTGCCGCTACGCGGGGCGGGGACCTGCGGTGCCGTAGCCGGTGCGTGGGGCGGAGCCGTGCGGTGCCGGTGCCGCTACACGGGGCTGTGCCGGTGCCGGTACGCGGGGCGGAGTCGTGTTGTATTGGTGCCCATACGCGGTGCCGGTGCGCGGGGCTGTGCCGGTGCCGCTACGCGGGGCGGGGACCTGCGGTGCCGTAGCCGGTGCGTGGGGCGGAGCGGTGCCGGTGCCGCTACACGGGGCGGTGCCGTGTTGTGCCGGTGCCGCTACGCGGGGCGGTGCCGGTGCCGTGCGGTGCCGTAGCCAGTGCGCGGGGCGCCGCGCCCCCATGAGCCGGTGAGGCGGCGGCGGTGCGGGAGGGATGGCGGCGGGCGGCGGCGGCGGGGGGCGGCCGCCGGGCTCCGACCCCGCGCTGGAGCCCTACGTGCAGACCCGCATCTTCAAAATCATCGTGATCGGAGACTCCAACGTGGGCAAGACGTGCCTGACCTTCCGCTTCTGCGGGGGCACCTTCCCCGGCAAGACTGAGGCCACCATCGGCGTGGACTTCCGCGAGAAGACGGTGGAGATCGAGGGGGAGCGCATCAAGGTGGGCCCCGCACCGGCCCCGGGCTGGCTGACATCAGTCCCGCAGGGCCCCGCTCTGTCCCCGATGGGTTCTACACCGGCTCCGGTGGGCTCTGCTTCATCCTCGGTCAGCCCCGCTCTGTCCCCGACGGGCCCCGCACGGGCCCCGGGCTGACCAGCACCAGCCCCGAGGACGCCCCCACTGGCCCCGATGGGCCCCGCGCTGGCCCCGAGCTGACCAGCAGCAGCCCCAGCAACGACAGCAGCGGGTCCCCATCCCTGCCCCCACCCCATCCCCTGCCCCAGGGCTGCATGTCGCACCCCAAAGCCCTCCCGGGGGCTTTTCCTTTCATCCCAGCTGGAGGGAGGAGACAGGGACAGGGGAGAATTCTCATGCCTGTGGTCAGCAGAGATGCTTCTGGACCCATCCATCCCTGCTGCCTTGTCGCTATTTCTGGGGTTGGTTTGAGCCTGCAGCGGCCTGAAGTGATGGGTTGGGGTGAGCCACTGCTGCCCTCCCGACACCCAGCACAGCCTCGGGGCATCGGGGTGGCTCCGGCTCCAGACACTGGACCAGCAGAGGGGCACAGCTGGGGGATGGAGCTGTGTGCCAGAACCAGGGCGTCTGGGGGGGCAGAGGGAGGCTGGAAGGCCGGGAGCTCCCACGGGCCGGTGGCAGCAGGCTCGGCAGCTGTGGGAGCGCTGCTGGAATCTGCTCCCAGCTGGCACCGGGAGCTGTGATTGCAGGACGACTGGAACAGGATGAATTTGCTCTATGAAGGCCCGTGTGACACCTGTAAGAAATGACCAGCCCAGACCTGGAGAGCTCTGGCTGGTGTGTCGGAGCAGATCTGCTGCTGGTAGGAAACCATTCAGGAGCAAAGCTTGTGGTTGAACTTGGCCTGCCAGGTTCAGGGGGATCAGCACCCACAGCCTCCAAGTGTGAGGCTGGTGCTGGAAGAACAAACATTGCTGCTGTACTGACAGATGGGTGATCAAAAGTTGAAATCGCAATGAAACCAAAGCTCATGTTGGTGGGTGAGAGCTTTAGTTGTGCTTCTAGACTGTCCATTAATGTTTTTCCCTTTCTCCTTTAGATGTGGTCCTTCCCCCCTACCCTCCCCAGCTCTGTCCAGCCCCATGGAGCCATGCTGGTGTGAGCTCTGGTGCAGGCTGGCATGGAGCCTGTCTCATGGCCAATGGCAGGAAAACACTGCCAGGGTTTCTACCTTTGGATATTATTTGTGCTCCAGCGGGCGTGAGTGGGAGGCAGTGCAGCAAACTGGCCTTTTCCTAGGATAATGCATCCAAGAGGAGAGGTGAGAGGTGGGAGATGGACCCTCCCTCTCCTGCTCTTCCCAGGCACTGGCCCAGAAAGGGCTGAGCAGCAGCTCTGCTTTGCCAGCATTTTTCACTCTGAAAGACCTCGGGGCAGGCATTGTCTCTGTGATAGGGTGATTCGGATTAATTTGGAAATTGCCAGTTCCAAGCTTCAAGATGTTACCAGGAGAACTCAGACTGACCCCTGGGGGCACCCTGCTAGTTACCAGTGTTCAACCAGACTTGGTGTCACTCGACACCACCTTCTAGGCCCAGACGTTCGGCCAGTTCCCAATCCACCTCACTGCTCATCCAGTTTAGGAGTTTCTTGGCTCCTCTGTCACTTGGGTCAGGGAGTTGTCATTGAGGGCTCCAGGAATGTTCTGGACTGCCTGTGCCCTGCTGTGCTGTCATTCCAGCAGCTGTTGAGGTGTTTGAAATTCTCAGCGCTGCAAACACGAGGCTGCTCCTTTCTGTCCATAGAGCACCTCATCTGCTTGCTCTTCCTGGCCAGGTGGTCTAGAGTGGAGACTCCCTACAATGCTATCTGTGGTGTTCTGCTCTTTAATCCTCCCCTACAATCTCTGGTGGCTCCTCACCCATCCCCCACAGAGGTCCATGGCCTCCTGCTGCACTCCCACACAAAGGGTGGCTCCCCGTCCTCGTCTTCTCTTTGCCCTGACTCCTCTGTGAAATTATCTGGGTTCTTGTTCATGCTGTAGGATTTGGTAGACAAGTAGACATGGACCTGTTGGAGTGAGTCCAGAGGAGGCCACAAAGATGCTCTCGGGGCCAGAGCCCCTCTGCTCTGGAGCCAGGCTGGGAGAGCTGGGGGTGTTCACCTGGAGAAAGGCAGGCTTCAGGGAGACCTGAGAGCCCCTTCCAGTGCCTAAAGGGGCTCCAAGAGAGCTGGAGAGGGACTTGGGACTAGGGCCTGGAGGGACAGGACAAGGAGGAATGGCCTTAAGCTGAAGCAGGGCAGATTTAGATGGGATATTGGGAAGAAACTGGGGATGATGGGACACAGGTTGCCCAGAGAAGCTCTGGACGCCCCATCCCTGGAAGCATTCAGGGCCAGGCTGGACAAGGCTTGGAGCAACCTGGTTTAGTAAGGTGTCCCTGCCCATGGCAGGGGGTTGGACTGGATGGTCTTTAAGGTCCCTTCCAGCCAAACCATTCCATGACTCTCTGAAAGCCAGACAGCAGGAAGCCCCCCTGAACCCCCACAGGGGGCCCTGCCAGGGCCATGCTCCTGTAGCCTCTTCTCTCCTCTGCTTCCCTTCCCAGGTGCAGGTGTGGGACACGGCCGGCCAGGAGAGGTTTCGGAAGAGCATGGTGGAGCACTACTACCGCAACGTGCACGCCGTGGTCTTCGTGTACGACGTGACGAAGATGAGCTCCTTCACCAACCTCAAGACGTGGATTGAGGAGTGCAACGGGCACGCGGTGTCCCCGCTCGTCCCCAGGGTGCTCGTGGGGAACAAGTGTGACTTGAAGGACCTGATCCAGGTGCCGTCCAGCCTGGCCCTCAAGTTCGCCGACGCTCACAACATGCTTTTGTTTGAGACCTCGGCCAAGGACCCGCAGGAGAGCCAGAACGTGGACGCCATTTTCATGTGCCTGGCCTGCCGGCTGAAGGCGCAGCGCTCGCTGCCCTGCCGCGACACCGAGGGCTGGCCGGGGCAGCCCCAGCCGCAGTCCCGCCGGCTGGACGAGGCCAGCGGGAAAGGCTCCTGCCCGTGCTGAGCGGGACCCGGCCCGGACCCCAATAAAGGCTCTGAGCCCCCTGCGCTCCGACTCCTGCTTTGCGCCTCGGCCACGCTCGTTTCGGTCCGGCGGGTAGCGCTCGGGTAAAACCGGCCCGGCTCGGCTGTGATCGTCTCGGTTCGGTTACAATCGGCCGGGTTCGGCCCAGCTCGGCCACGCTCGGCCCGGTTCGGCGAGTAGCGCTCGGTTGTAATCGGCCCTCTTCGGTTACAATCGGCCCCGCTGGGCCGCGCTCGGCCCAGTTCGGCTACAATCGTCTCCACTCGGCTACAATCGTCGCCACTCGGCGACATTCGTTTCTACTCGGATACAATCGACTCCACTCGGCGACTCTCGGCCGAGTCCGTTCGGCTAGGCGGGCAGCGCGCAGTCGCGGTGCCGCGCGCAGGCGCAGTGCGCGCTGCCGCCGCCATGAAGTAGGTGTGGGGACTGTGAGGGGAGCGGGAGGGAGAGATGGGGGAAGGTTTGGCTCTGGCGGTTTCGGCGCTGACGGTGCCTCGCCCGCAGCCCCCTGACGAAGGTGAAGCTGATCAATGAGCTGAACGCGCGGGAGGCGGAGCTGGGCGTGCAGGAGGCGGTGTCGTGGCACGCGGAGTACAAGGACAGCGCCTGGATCTTTGTGGGTACGGGCCGGGCCGGGGAGCGGCGGGGCCGGGCCGGGCCCGGCCCGCTCGTTGCCGGTGACCCCTTCCATCCCTCTCCCCACAGGAGGGCTGCACTACGAGCTGACGGAGGGCGATGTCATCTGCGTGTTCTCGCAGTAAGTGCCGCAGCCCCGGCCCCGCCGCCCGCCCGGGCGCTGCCGGAGGGTGCTGACGGTGTGTCACAGGTACGGCGAGGTCGTCAACATCAACCTCGTGCGGGACAAGAAAACCGGGAAGTCCAAAGGGTTCTGCTTCCTGTGCTATGAGGATCAGAGGAGCACCATCCTGGCTGTGGACAACTTCAATGGGATCAAGGTGAGCGGGGTTCGGGTGCTGCTGCCGCGGCTCCTCGGGTGCTCCCGGGGACCTGCCCGCGGTCTGAGAGCCCGGCCCCTCCAGATCAAGGGACGGACCATCCGCGTGGACCACGTGGCCAACTACCGGCCCCCCAAGGAGTCGGAGGACTGGGATGAGGTGACCAGAGCCCTCCATGCCAAGGGCTGCGGGGTCAAAACGCCGCCTCGCTCCTCGTCTGACTCCCCATCGGAGGAGGAGGAGGATGTACCTGTGAAAAAGCAGAAAGGTGAGGAGTGTTCCTGACGAGCTGGATCCGAGGTGGGATTAGGAGCTGGAGTCTGGGTGGAGAGAAGGGTTAGAGGGAGGAAAATGGGCACAAAGTGAGGGTGGGGACAAGATGTTGCTCCAAGGTGCCGAGGAGGTGCTTGAAAATGAGGGAGGAGGGGGAGAGCAAAGAGGGAAAAGAGTCGTTGGGTCTGGACTGGGAAATTCCGCAGAACGAATCATGATGTTACTGAGTAAAGGGAATGAGTGGAAGTGTCCAGCATTACTGGAAAGAACATGGTGTGAGCGTTCAAGAGGGAAGTGGGGTGGCTGCAGCTGGAGGAGAAGGGTGTCACGCTAAGAAGTGGAGTGGGATCTCCCTGAGGGGGAAGCAGGCTGGCATATTGGGGGCATAGGGGAACAACTTGTGGTGAGAGGGGAGTTGGGGCAGTGCCATAAAATAGGGGAGTTGGGGGTGCTCCTGGAATTGGGTCCATTGCAAGTTGTGACCCCGTGTTCCAGAGAAGCCGCGGAGCAGAGCGGAGCAGCCGAAGCCAGGCCAGCAGGCCGGGAAACGGGCTGGCACAGAGGAGCCACATCCCAGGATCAAGATCAAGAAGGAGAAGGAGGACCCTGGGTACGAGCGCTACGCCAGCGGGAGCTCCGACAGGAACGCTGGGAGCAGGACACAGCGGGACGAGGAGCAGCGGCGGCACCAGCGGCCCTCGGAGAGGAGGGGGGACAAGAGCGGCCAGGAGCAGAGGGGACAGAGCAGCTCCTGGGAGGAGCGGGACAAGAGGGAGGAGGCTGGCAGGAGGAGCGACGGGCACAGCAGCCGGCGGGACGTGTCCCCCAAGGGAGGCAGATCCCGGGAGCCCCATTCCAGGCACAAGGAGCGGGGCTCTGGCAGAGACTCCGGCCGCCACTGAGCCCTGGGAGAGCATTCCAGGGCCAGGGAGGCCCTGAGCCTGCCCAAACACCTGCTCCAAGCTCCCAGGGCACTGCAGCTGGACTGCTTGCCTCACGGGAGCTTCCCTTTGGATCTCCTCCTGCCCTGGGCCAGGGCTTTCTGTGTTGGCTTCAGTGCTGGCCATGGAGGGTGGCAGGAGCTGGGATCTGGGAGCAGCAGGATGCTCCCCTTCCCCAAACCCCCAGTTCTGTCAGTGCTGGAGGGTGTCCCCCTCTTGCAGTGCGGGAAGAGGCCTGTGGGTGTCTGGTCTGGCCTCGCCTGCCAGTGAGTCCTGTGCCCACCCAGCGCCTCCAGGTTCTGTGGTGGATCTGCAGGGATGCACTGCTGTGTTGGGGCCATTCATTGTGGGTTTGTTTAAAGGTCTTCTAATAAAAATTCCTGTTTGGCAGAAGCTGGTCCCAGGAGCAGCCTTCCTGCTCCTGATGCTGATTTTGGGCTGATTTGCCTGGAAAACCGGGAGTGATGGATACAGAGTTGGGGGGTGGTACACAGCGGTGATGAGAGGGATGGGATTTGGGATGGTTTGAGCTGGATCTGACTCCTACAACGAGTAATCCCTCCAGAGTCTACAGCAGTTCCAGGCATGGGGGGCAGAGGGGGCATTTTCCCCATGGAACAATTGGGACTGAGCCCAGAGGTGCCTGATATGAGGTCAGACGGGGACTGGGGCAGGGGCAGACCCGGGGAGTTCCCAGTGTGCTGAGCAGGGGGCTCAGCCCCATCCTGCTCCTGGTACCCCGGGGAGCGGTCACCATTCTGCTCCCGGTATCTGGAAAGGCTCAGCCCTTCCTGCTCCTGGTACCCCGGGTGGCTGTGACCGTTCTTCTCCCGGTACCCCGGGGAAGCTTAGGCCTGTCCTGCTCCCGGTACGCGGGGAGTGGTCACCATTCTGTTCCCAGTGTCCGGGGGGGGGCTGTGATCATCCTGCACCCGGTATCCGGGGGGGGTTCAGCCCCGTCCCGTTCCCGGTATTCGGGTGGGTCTGAGCCCCGCCCTGCCCGCGGTGCCGGGGGGCGGTGCCCGGTGCCGGTGCGGTGCCGCCGGGGGCCGGCGGGGGGCGCGGCGGTGCCGGTGGCCGTTCCGGCGGCTGTTCCGGTTCCGGTCCCGGTCCCGGTGGCGGCGGTGCCCGCCCGCCATGCCATGTCCGCGCTCAACTGGAAACCCTTCGTGTATGGCGGGCTCGCCTCCATCGTGGCCGAGTTCGGTGAGGCGGCGGAGCCGGCGGGGCGGCAGCGGCACCGGGGCCGTTCCCGGCGGGCGCTGACGCCGCTGTCCCCGCTGTCCCCGCTGTCCCCGCAGGCACGTTCCCCGTGGACCTCACCAAGACGCGGCTGCAGGTGCAGGGGCAGAGCACCGACGCGCGGTTCCGCGAGGTGCGGTACCGGGGCATGTTCCACGCGCTCTTCCGCATCTGCCGCGAGGAGGGAGGACGGGCCCTGTACTCGGGGTGAGCACCGGGCACCGGGACCATCGCGACAGGGACCCCATCGGGATAGGGGCCCATCGGAACCGGGATCCCCATTGGCACCGGGACCCATCAGGACAAGGACCCATCCCATCGGCACCGGGCTCCATCCATCCCGAGACCCCCACGGGTCCTTCCCACCCACCCTGCCCCCCCCAGTCCATCCGCACCGGGACTCCCCTACCGGGACCAGGATCCCCCATCCGCCCTGGGCCCCCCGATCCACCACGGGAACCCCCGTGCATCCGTGCACCCATCTGCTACGGATCCTCCACCAGGCCTGGCATTTCCTTCCACCCACCCTGGGCTTCCCCCCTGCCCCACCATCTCTCACCACCTGCCCTGGGCCACCCTTCGGTCACGGCATCACCCCCGCCATCCTGCCCGCCCCCCCAGCCCATCCCAGTTTCCCCCCTCCACCCTGGGATCCCCCTCTGCCTTCCCGAGGTCCTCCCGGGTCCCCCCACCCATCCCGGGTCCTTCCCCTCTGCCCACCCTGGCCCCTGCTTCTGTCCTGGCACCCCCACCTCACCCCGGGCTCCCTCTTCCACCTTCTGTCCTGGCATCCGCCCTGTCCATCCCAGTTCCGCCCTCCCCTTTGCCCATCCCAGCCCACTCCCACTCCCTGCATGGCACTGTGACCCCCAGGACCCACCCAGCCCTGAGCCCTGGGGCCGGGACAGTGGAGACTCCTTGTTTTCCCGAGATGAGGAGCAAGGCCAGGGCTGTGTAGATGCCAGCCCCTGGTACAGCAGGGGGCAATCCCAGTGGTTATCCCGGGCACTGGAGCCATGGCAGGGACGTGCCTGGTCCCCAGCAGTTTGGGGGCTGGTGGGAAGCTGGCACACAGGGATGCTCAGGGATTGTTCCCCCTCAGGATCGCCCCGGCACTGCTGAGACAGGCATCCTATGGCACCATCAAGATCGGGATCTACCAGAGCCTGAAGCGGCTCTTCGTGGATCGCATGGAAGGTCGGTGTCAGGGAACGGGGCAGCAGGGGCACCTCCCAGCTCACTGATCCTACACTCCGTTGTGTGTTCTGCTCATTCCCTGCTCTGTCCTTCCCACCTCGAGATTCCCACAGGAATGGAGCTCTGTTACTGGGTGCTGTGGTTTTGTTTGTCAGTGGTAGCATGGATCAGTTTTAATCCCAATGGGATCCCCTGATCCCTACCCAACCACCTCCCTCCAGCCAGGTCCCTCCTTTCATGGAATCATAGGAGAATCCCAGAATCACTTAGGTTGGAAAAGAGCTTCAAGGCTATCAAATCCAACCTGTGCCTGGTGCCCACCTTGTCCCCCAGCCCAGAGCACTGGGTGCCACGTCCAGTCCTTCCTTGAATACCTCCAGAACTGGGGACTCCACCACCTCCCTGGGCAGC